TTATAATTCTTTAGTATATTACTTGTGTGGTGTAGAAGTGAATCATATACTGCTTGCAAACCAATGATGGTAAGATGATGTCATGGGGTAGGACTGGATAAGTCTGACTTCTTCCTACTCCATTCAAGCATGTACTAGGTATAAGCACATTGATATTGGATTAGCATTTGTTGGATATGTGTAAGATTATGTGTGTTGACATATCAACTGTTTTTACATGCTTGAAAGAAAGAATAAATCAAATCAAACATAAACTATGAGGAGAGAACAAAATCTTTTAGATGATGTAACAGAGCTGTAATGTTGAATTGGGTGAGCTAATTTTATTATTTTTATTGTAATGAAGAAAATCAAGGAGATCACATACATGCACTCGGAGGGCATCTTGGCCGGGGAGCTGAAGCATGGCCCTCTGGCACTCATAGACAAAGACATGCCAGTCATCATGATCATCATGAGGGACGCCTGCTACATTAAGTGCCAGAATGCTCTGCAACAAGTCACAGCCAGATCGGTAGGTCCTGGAAAAACTTATATTAATAGACCTGCAGACAGATTTGCATAAATGTTACAATTGGAGAGCAGATGTAGACCAAACTCACATTTGTAGGTCATTATGTTGTGATAGTCTGTCCTAAGGAGTGCGGAGAGCTTAGAGTTCTAGCATTATTTCAGTAAAACCGGTACTTAACATATGATCAGGTAATGCATGGGAAATAGCTACAATAAGGCAAAAAATACACTCAGCATTCACAGCCAAGTCAAAATGCACACCATTTACTATAAATGATGAAAATAAGTGTACTAACAAGACGTTAATGTGCTTGCCATCAGGGTCGGCCTATCATCCTGTGCTCCCAAGATGACACTGAGATAACTAAGAATGCCTACCAGACCATCGAGCTGCCACAGACTGTGGACTGTTTGCAGGGCATCCTCACTGTCATCCCCCTGCAGCTCCTGTCATTCCACTTGGCTGTCCTGCGAGGATATGACGTAAGTAGTTAACATACATTTTGACAAATTCTCAGTGTAAAAACACTTTTTCAAATTTCAAGTATTTTTCCTTTGTGACTATATTCTTCTGCTGCTAATATGCTGTCGACCTGATTAGGTTCCATACATTTTCATTTTTATCTGTTCAGATTTTTATATTGACTTGTACAATTTTTGTGTTATTTATATAAATAATGTGTCTTTTCAGCCGAGAGCTGCCGAAAGAAATTTCGTTGTGCTAAGCATAATGACAATACAGATTCTTGACTTGACTTTATCACTTGTTTTAAGTAATGGGTAGAAGTGAATCATTTACTGCTTGCAAACCAATGATGGTAAGATGATGTCATGGGGTAGGACTGGATAAGTCTGACTTCTTCCTACTCCATTCAAGCATGTACTAGGTATATGCAAATTGATATTGGATTATGTGTACAATTATGTGTGTTGTCATATCAACTGTTTTTACATGCTTGAAAGAATAAATCAAATCAAATCAAATCAATCTCAAATCAAATCAATGAACTATTAATGTTTTCTGCATTTTATATAATTACACTTTAAGGAGACTTTTGTCAGCTAATTTGATCACTGGCCTGAGCCTCAGCAACAGACAATGAAACATTAGGTCATTAGGTGGTCATCATTATCCTTCTATGTAAATCTATCAGAACAAAATTAGGGATTTTGTTTCGTGCGAGTTCCTTAAAAAAACATCTCTCACACCACTTTGGACACCACCTATCACAAGGACAGGGAGTGGCTAGTGACTCAAGCATCTGTGTGTGCTTTGCGGGTTTTTCCGTCCACACTGACATGAGAGCTGTTTTGTCCTTCTTCTGTAGCACAATTTATTTGCATACCATTTTTTAGGCTGTTAATGGGAACTGGCAGAATGTCAGTGCCCATTATATGACACAGCATCTATACCCAAACCCATATTATTGTGCATCTCAGTAGGAGTACTGTTGTTATAGCACCCACTGTAATATGATGTGTTGTGCTAAAAATGTACTACTATTATAACAGACTGGTTTCTCTTTTTACAGGTTGACTGTCCCAGAAACTTGGCCAAGTCTGTGACTGTGGAATAAATCCAGTTCACGAAGCCCAAAAGAGGAGAGAGGAGGCTCATAGATTTACAGTGCAATTGTTCAATTGAATGTTCAGTATGTTTATGTGCACATGTGTATCATTTTGTGTGTGATGGTGTTGGAGCTGTGTTTGTATGTAGGCGAATGAGGGTGTGAATGAGAGAGCGAATGTGAGAGATGAAAGAGGGCGGTATAAGGTACAATGCCTATTTTTAGAGAAATGTGAAGTCTGACCAATACACTGCTGAGGACATGCCAGAGCCACTTGAGGACTTGTAGGACAACCAATGAAAACAACATTCCAACATCCAAAGCAACATGCTGTGCCTTCTTTAAATCTTGTTTTGAGCCAAAAGACATACAACAGGCTTAGCAGAAAGGCACTGATATGGTGTACTGAAGTGTTTACAGTTGCACAATATGGGGGCCTATTGTGAATTATGAATGTACACAGTCATGAATAAGATGATTTATTTTGTTCCTGTTTTATGAATTTCTTATGTCTTTTAACTTGTTTTTGCATGATGGGAAATGTAGCAATTACACGGTTTTATTCCAGAGAAATCTCTAAGTTATGAAATTCTGATTTAATATATTTAGTTACCCACTCATATAGTCACTGTGCCTGGTGGGCCATTAACCTCTAATGTCAATATTCTTTAGCAGAAGCCACCAGAAGTCATTTTTACATGGCTCATATTTCGGCTCCTATTTTATTTCACAGAATTACAGTTTCCAAAATCAGTTCATGGTACACCATGAACCTTTTCCCCCCTACTTTCTTTCTTTATAGTTATTCACTTCATAGATAAGATCATTCAATCGACATACACAAGAATTGTTTAAGGAGGTGTCATGCAGCAAAAATACTGTGTACCATGAATTACAATACTTTTGTCAGTCATTTGTATGGGTTTATAGATGCTTTGAGGCTTGTTGGAATATTTAAATTGTATTTGAATAGTATTTATCGTAAAATTCTTTTTTTCTTTGTTGATGTTTTTGCCTAAAATAAATAAAGTTCACTACTTAAGAAGGATTATAGCTACATGGAATAATGCTTCTTTTTTTTTACAAGAAGTAAATTGGGATGCACCGATGCTAAATGGCGTCATTTAACAGAAAAAAATTTAAAATACTTGCACTTGCTTCAGAAAATCATCTTATTAAGTTTTCAACTGATCTTATGTACCGAAATTTTAATGATTAAGGTACAAAAAAAGTTTTTCCAGTTTTCACGTACGTAAACTATGCGTGATGACGTCACCCGCATGCTCGCTCTCTGCTTATTGTGGCGTTGCCTTCCTCCGCGCTGCCTCTGGAGTTAGCTAGGACCTGGAGGAAAGGTTGTCGTGACAGCCCGGCTGGGCGTTCTCGTAAACTTTTCCGAGTTTTGGTTGTGCCTGAAAAACATACACAGTGTTTTATCTGTGTTTTCGATCCATGGGAGTGCTCTGGGAGTGGCGAAGGGAGAAGGTAGGTCTTGCTGCTGCAGCTGCCACCTCCTCTGCTGTCCGTTGGTCCGTGCGAGCTATCAGTTCAGCCCCAGCCCGACTACCGCATTGCTGCCGAGTGAAGTGAAGTGAAGGAAGACGGGAATGTAGGCCTCGGTAACTTTGTAACCTACCAAACGCGAGGTGAATATAACCGGTGTAGTATGTTAGTGTGACTTCGGCTGTGCGAACCGATGATTTCTGAGTGAGTTTAGACACCGAGAGCCAGCGGTGCTGCGGCCGCGGTGTGTCATAGACGGGTGACTTCATATCTCTGTGTGTATTTAGAGCAGATAGGCTGCGTGCTGGAATTATAAAACAAATCAAATAATAAAACACATTTTAGAACACACGATTGTCAGTGTGCATAGCTTACTCATAGACCTATTGGGTCAAATGTGTGGTGTTTCTGTAGGCCCTGTAGGTTTTCAAACTATTATCACAGTTAACATGTACACAGGTGTAGATGTGATGAGCTAGTGCTATATTTTTACCTCGATCTAGATCAGTGTATTTGGCATGGTATATCAAAGGGACGTCTGTCAATGGGAAGCATGTCAGAGCATAAACAGGTTGGCATTGGTTGTGTTAACCAGCAGTGAAGTGGGATCATACATACATGAAAGGATACGAAGAGTGTTGGTAGTGGTACTAGCATCGTTTCCCATTAACTCGTCTTTAGCATCCTCTTTAAATAAGCAGGTGAAGATGGGCTACATCTTCATCGGTCCATTGCTAGTACAGCAGCTGCCTAGATGTAGCTTTACCCGCCCCTGCTGTGCGTTTTCTAACTCTGCCACATTAGGACAAGGTAGTGAGTCTTCAGGCCATGCTAGTCTGATATCATAGCCAGCTCACTGACTCCCATCGAGCTCCCAGCTGAGAGCCACAGCCACGTCAGAGCTCCAGGCTGGACTGGACTCAGCTGGGCAGTGATGAAGAGCTGGGGTTGAGGTTGGAAGTGTTTGTGTGAAGGTCACTTCTCTCATCAACACTTACAGTTGTAAAATGAACAAAATCACATTCATATATAATTGTAAAATGATGAGAGAACGATGTCTTTGCTTCCCATCTTTTCATTCAGATTTCTTGCATGATCAATAATCTTTACTGGAATAAATTAAGCTCAGTATCTTGCCATATTGTGTCAATGCACTGGCAGCATAGATATTCTGTCTTGCTATACTGAGGCATTTTGATGTTTGGAACTGTTTTGTTTTCTGACATTTCCGGCTTTTGCCAGTCTATATCTGTGTGATATTTGAATGATGATGCAATCTTTTACATTGTGTTAGACACTAATCTCAGTTGCCTAATATTCGAGTAAACTAAAAGCCTTTCATTTTGTGTTATTCATATATTATTAATTTGCCATTTTGGTTGATATTGGGTCAGCCGTAGCTGAGGGGAGGTCTTGCTGGGGTGGTTCAGGGCCCAGTTGTGGACAGCCTGGTAGTGAACTGCCAACCCTACATGTCCTTGACAGAGACACTGGCCCCCCCCCATATTGTGGCAGGTCTGTGTGTATGGGAAAATATAATCCTCTTTGGATAAAAGCACCAGCCAAATGAATAGAATTTATTTTGGGCATTATAAATAAAAACGACTTGTAGATGAAACTTAATTTAATCCTTACATCTAAATAGTTTTTCTTCACATTAAATATTCAGTTTGTCTGTCTAGCTAAATTTAAGCGCAACTGGATCAATAATGTTCCTAGAGAGAAAACAACTAGCTTGACTGCTCACCACATGGAAAACGCTGTTAGATTACACACCGAAAGTGATCTTGCCTGCAGCCTTAATTATGTATGGAAAGCAATGACTGCTTAATCACAGAGTTCTCTGAAGAAACGTCTGTTATCAGGCTCTTGTTCCTTATAAATTGGCAGTTTAGCCGTAAGCTAATGTTGTGACTGCTTAGGTTTAATTAATTGTTGAAGTTCAAATCATGTTCACCATTTTGGTACAATTAACTGTCTGACATATTATTGGTGTCTGGACTTTTTTTTTTTTTTGCCATGTTTGGTGTAGGATGTTGGGGCTGTGAGGGCTCGTAATGTGAGTGTAACCAAATTGTTAGCGCTATGATATTATGATGCTATTCACATCTTCACTGTGGTTATTTAGTTTTTTTTCTTGATAGCCTATCGCTCTTCTGATGTGTCCCACATGTGGGAAATGGCATAGATTTCCAAGGAGGACATTATAAGAATCAAATCCTCATTGAACCCCTCGATGCCTGCTGCCAGATTTATAACAGGTGGCAGCTCCTGTGTGTCTGCCTGGCTTTATGAGCTTACGTGCAGTTTTCATCAAACTTCGGTGGTTCCCTGTCAGTGTTCCTATATTTGTGCTGAGTCAACTGTACATTTTGCCTGTAGCCATGCCCAGCTTGGCAGCAAGTGAAGGGCTAACACTGTGCCCTGCTGCTGCACGAGTGGCTTTTGGTTGTGATTATTGGCCCCTTCATAGCGTTCTTTAGCTTCATGTGTGCAACAGATATTTAGGTAAAAAGAATTCCCAGAGTGTCAAAGTGGCCTTGTTGTCTGAGGCAGGTAAATTAGCAGAGTCTGTAAAGGAAAGGGGGTTTCAGGATATTTGTTGCACAGGATGTTCATGTGCTCTGTTGAATCTGTGGCCTTAAATCTATGCTGCATGTCAAGGGAAATTTGTATTTTCTTCTAATTAACCATCGCCAGCATGTTTTCTCTGCATCTGCATTTTAAACACTTACGTAATTAGGTGGGGGAAAGTACTGCTGGCATGTAATTAAAAATATATCTGTCAGGCCCTCAGTGGGGATTACTTTGAGGAGGCCACAGGGCTGATGAGAGAAAACCAGAAAAGGCCAGAGGAGGGAGGGAATGTCAGGAGCATAAAAGAACAATGAAGGAAGACAAAGGCAAAGGAAATGGAAAGTGTGATAGAAGTATGGAGAGAAGTAAAGATCTTTGCCGCCTCTTGGGGGTAGAGAGGGAGCCAGCTGGACGCACATGTGAGGAGGAGGAAGAACAGCCAGGGAGGTACAGAAGGAAAGTAGATAGAGGTGATAAGGATTTGTTTTTTGTCTGAGTAATGGTGCGGATGCCTACATCTGAAGGCTTTTTTTTTTCCAGTGCTTGTGCATTTACAAAGCCAGACAGAAAAGAGAAAAGATGGCACATTCAAGAGAGAATCAAAACCCTGGGTTATAAAAGAAAAACAGTTCACAATACAGGAAACCAAAACAAAACAAGATCGATGACAGGCAGATGCTCTGTGGGATTAGATAACACATTCAAAGACATAAACACGGTGGGAAATACCTCAACAAGATGCATAAAATAACAAGAAAAACTGTAGTTGGCATTAAAATGAATGAACAGTTCATTGTTCCCACCTTTGCCATTTTCTGTATACTGCAGTTTTGTCTTTTTCTTTCTTTAAAAAAAAGTAGCAAAATAATATGTGAAACTATAAAGTAATCAGTCAAAATTCCCTGCACATTTAAGGCTTCTCACCATTAGGTGTTCATTGTGTGGCCTGTCAGAAGCCAGTACTGATACATACAGAAAATGTTATTAAAGCCTTATTGGTTAATACTTTTTAATTTAGGAATTTGCTAATTAAAATGGCGAAAAAGACTTTCTGTTACCCAGTGTTATTTAATGTTCCCTTACTCCACTAATCATGTCAGACTGGCTCATAACAGTCAAGTGAGTCAAGTGACAGCTGCTCCACTCACACAGCTCGCTGCTCACTTTCTGCAGGTCTTTTTAATGGTGCCACGGTGTCGGAGCCGACACTTGAGAAACGTTACAGTTCAGTCTGCTTGAGGTGATTTCTGGCTCCGTTCCTTCATAACTTCTCCCCTAATGCTTCTTTGTTTTTAGTACTTTGTGACCATGAAATCTAGTTAGTGTTTGTGTCCTTGCTGACTGTGAGAGAAGGCCAAAATATCAGACTCCATTTAACCTCTGGCTGTTTTCTGAAGGAATGACAAACAGCCATGACTGTTCGTTGTTGCACAGCTACACAATTCTGTGTCCTCGCCCACACACACACACACACACACACACACACACACAAACCCCGGCCAAGGATAATAATACTCCTCCACTTTCTGCCTGAGGAATCGGTGCTAACATAGGAGCACATCATGTGCTAACGTCTTGTTAACGTGTTCTCGGCCTGTGCTGGTGACTCCTTACACGCATGTGGTGAAGTTCAAAGAATAATGAGCATGCGATATGTTTGTGTTTACTGAGCATGAGTGTGTCAGCATGACTTTAGTGATAGCAGTAAGAGCCTCAGGAACTCCAAGCTGTCAGCTGCCTGTGTTTTCGCTGTCACACACCAAAGCATTTACAGCCTCAGCTTCAGCTCTTGTTTGCTGTTACCTTTGTCAGATGAACAGACTGGACAGAAAGCGGTGATTGATTGGTTGCCCTGAGACTGGGCTGAAAATGAAGGGAGAAATGCCAGGGACTGACAGATGGAACCAGAATAGGCCCTGAGTGATTCAGTGGACTGAAAAAACTGCCTATCTCTTTGTGTGTGTGTGTGTGTGTGTGTGTGTGTCTTGTTGGCCCTCTGCAGACAGTGCTGGTGGTCCTGACTGTGCAGCAGGATGAGTGAGTCAGAGGGCCAGTTCTACAGTGTTCAGGTGGGAGACTCCACCTTCACTGTACTCAAGCGCTACCAGCAGCTCCGCGCCATCGGCTCCGGGGCCCAGGGCATTGTCTGGTAAGAGGCTGTGCTTTTCTTAGCATTTTGCTGATTGTGTCACTAGACCAGGGTGCTGTTAATGCCCCGAGTTCACCTGATAAGATAACCAGATAAGTATGAGGGTGCTGCATGAAAAGTAAAGTTTGCCCCCTAGTAATATTCATGAATAACCAAAGCTTGTTACAACCTTGTCATTACTCTGTGTTAAAGTAAGAGGAGTAGCAATTTAAGCAATTTTTCTCCAATTTTAAAAGATAAATGACACGCTGGGTAGTTTTTTTTGTTTGTTTTTTTTCCTTGTGAAATTGGTGGTGACTTTGATGTGGATGATGCATTAATTCTGTTCCATGATAACTGTCTTTTCCCCTGCTGCGTACGATGCGTGAGCAGCTCTGCTCTGGACGCGGTCCTCGGTATCCCGGTAGCAGTGAAAAAGCTGTGTCGACCCTTCCAGAACCAGACCCATGCTAAACGTGCCTACAGGGAGCTGGTACTGCTCAAATGTGTTAACCACAAAAATGTAAGACTCACATCTGACACAAGACGTGTTTTCCTACTGGCTGCAACACAGGCTTTATGTTTGATGTAGATTTAGGCCACAGTATAAAAGAGTCATACAAGATGATTAAAACCGCTGGCAGTCAGATTAAAAATGTTAAGATTTGTGTTTACATCTTGTCATGTATTGTTTTATAAGTCACTTCTGGATTAAATATCTTGTGATGTGATTTGCAGGGAAGATGACTGGAGCCAAAGCCTAAAGCACTTGGTCTCATAAATAAAACTACAAACTTAACAAAACAAACAGTCCCTGCTTCTTGCTAAAGTGAGAGAATGCAGACAAACCCTGTTAATGCTCTGCCCTCGTCTGGCTAGCTTTGTACAGTGAAGTGCATGTAGATGGGAGAGTAACGGAGCGGACTAACGTTCTGTCTCTCTGCTTGCAGATCATCCGTCTGATCAATGTGTTCACGCCTCAGAAGTCCCTGGAGGAATTCCAGGATCTGTGAGTGGCAGTGGAGAGCTCTTTAGCTGTAATAATCTACTGTGTAGTTTCTTTTTCAGTTGAATGTAGAGATTTTAGTTGAGGTGTCTCTCTACTCTGTGTTTTTCTCCATTTTCCCTCCATTTATTTCTCATCCTGCTATTTTTGTCAGTTAACTAGTTATTTGCTTTTGACATTGTTTATTTCTGTGCTTGTGTACTTCTTTACAACCTTTTCTTCCTGTTGGTGCATTTGTCCCTCTCCCGCTTTGTTCTTTATTTATTTATTTATTAATCCCTACTTCATTTTTTTAATTCTTCTCAGGTACCTGGTGATGGAGCTGATGGATGCCAGCCTGTGCCAGGTGATCCACATGGACCTGGATCACGAGAGGATGTCGTACCTCCTTTATCAGATCCTCTGTGGCATCAGACACCTACACTCTGCTGGCATCATCCACAGGGTGAGGGCAAGGAGCAATTGTGCTGTGGGCTGAAGCAGCTAATAAGGCAGACAGTAATGTTGCTTCACACTCCAGAAATATCCTAATACCAGGCTTAAAGGCAGTGTTTCACGTCTGTCTCTTGTTATGTCCCTGCTGGGTGTGTCAGAAGCACACTCACCTGTAACCACACCTAACCATGTTGCAGTGCACTGACACATCTTGGGCTGCACTGCTGCATGTTAAACTATGTTTTTATGACGAAAGCATCTCTTTGATTGTAAAATTGAATTGAAAAGATGTTGAGGTATTTAACCATTTTGGTTCATTTGTCTAAATGCAAGCATTTCCCCCTAAATATCTGGCATCCATTTGAATCTTTTCCCCACTACCATCTGTACAGAATAATATGGTGTTTTTGTGTGCGCCTGTGTGTATGTTTCTGTAGATTTACAGACTTTCTGTCCCCTCAGGATCTGAAGCCCAGTAACATTGTGGTGAAGTCAGATTGCACTCTGAAGATCTTGGACTTTGGCCTGGCTAGGACGGCCTGCACTAACTTCATGATGACCCCCTACGTGGTGACCAGATACTACCGTGCCCCAGAGGTCATACTGGGCATGAAGTATAAAGAGAATGGTAAAAATGAGAATCAAGCAGCTGGTTTAGAACATTAATTGTTGAGACCTTCTATCCCTAAAAGTTTTACATGAATTGAAAGGGATAAAGCTCCACTGTAAGTGCACATATTCTTAAATTTGGTGACGCCACATGTATTGTGATAATGTGATTTATGAGAGCTTACTGACTATATCAGTGTAATACTTCTGTGTGTTTACAGGAAGGAAATGGTTAACAGTTCAGAAACTATAGGTTGTGTTTCCCTAGAAGCCTTTGTGTTCTTGTTGAGCCAGTTATTGATCTTCATGACCACTTCACATTGTTTAAGATTTTTTTTTTTAGTGCTTCATTTAAAGCAGTACAGTAGCTGTAGCTGGCTGTGGAATCTAATACAGTATAATGAAGAGCCATCATTATTGGTTGATATTGGCTTCTCATACACTCGTTTGAATCCTACATGTATATCAACTGGTATGTAAAAAAAACGTAAAGCTGAGAAAAGCATGAGGTCATTTAGAAACTGTATTATGGTAACAATACAACAGATGGTGCTGGCTGTTAAGAATAAGTTCACTTGCGAGCACTCTACCTACAGTACAGAGTGACAAATCTCTGATCCGGTGTCAGCCAGGCTTTAGTTCTCAGTTCTGGCTTATTGGTTTTTGAAGATGACAGTGAATGTCTTTGCTGCAGTGGACCTGTGGTCGGTTGGCTGCATAATGGCTGAAATGATCTCTCACAAAATCCTCTTTCCTGGAAAGGACTGTATCCTTCCTTGTTTGTCTCCTTAAGCCTTTCAGTTGTTTTCTCTAGGTGGAGGTGGGAGGCCTTCAGGAGATAGACAGCTGAAGACATGTAGTACATAAGCTGTCAGTTTGTACAACACAAACTATTTTGTCAGATAATGTCATTTTTCTACAACACACAGTTGAGGTGTTCCTATTTTTATGAACTAGCTTAACTACAACTTGATGCATTTATCATGGACAGGGAGAACTAATCAGGCCAGCAGGAGTGCCTTTTAGGATTACAGCTAGAATAAATAGTGTAACCTGTCCAAACTTTAACATTATAATTTATGCAGTGTGTGTGTGTGTGTGTGTAAACTGGAGCTAAAGTGCTCTGCAGTGACCAGAGGACGTCACTGGAGAGCAGAGAGCTTTCAGCGCCAGTGAAACTAAAACACAGGCAAGAGAGGAGTTAATGGCTGTTTGCTCTGAAGCAAACAGTCGACTCAGAGAGAGCGAGAGAGACAAACTGCATCCTATTTTGCTAAGTGCACACACATACACAGGGAAAGTGAAAGACTGCAGCAGCTGTGTAAACTGATAAGCAGAGCCAACGAGAAAAGCCTGGAAACCTGAATCTGGTTCCCAGCCAGAGAGAGAGAAGAAAGTCTGTCTGAAGATGAGTGTGATGAAAGCATCAGGCCATGGTGCATCGAAGAAGCCCAAAATAATGAGAGCTGGTGTTCTCCATTTCAGTGTTTGTCATTTAGATTTAAGCCATGAACTGTGTTGTTCATCTGTGCAGCCTCCATTTGTCATCTTACTGTATTTTTAGCATGCATTATATTATGTGGTTGATGTTATGTGGTCACTTTTATTTAATATCTTTCTGTGTGTGTGTGTGTGTGTGTGTATTTGTGTTTGCTTGTGTGCTCTCTGTTCCCAGTGGACATCTGGTCAGTGGGGTGCATCATGGGAGAGATGGTAAAAGGCAGCGTCATCTTCCAGGGCACCGACCGTATCCTTCACCGCTCTCATCACCTCTGTCCTGCGTGTTCATCCATCTTTCGCCCTCCACCAAAACTCCATTTAGCTTAAAGTATTTCATTCATCCCGACACTTTTCTTGTCTTACGGTTCTCTGTGCACGGTTGTCTGTCTGGACATTTCCTTATGCTCTGAGCATTATCTGTTGAATAGGTTTCCAGGAGACCTCGTTTTAAAAAGAGAGCTTAGTTTGTTTCCTGCCCTCTTCAGCGATTATGAATGTGTGGAGTTGTCTGTAATCACCGTCACTGATGGAGGGAAACAAACTGAGGCAATTCAAATCATTAGTATTTATACTGGCAGCTTGTCTCTTTCTAGTGAGTTGGTCACCTCTTCACCAGCTCCTTTCAGTGGCACTGTCCATTTAGAGTAGCGGAGAATAGATGCGGGGTGCAGTGTGATTCTGGAGTAGATTGCTTTTCTTCTCAGAAGTAATAGCCTTGTCCTGCAGTGGATGTGCCTATCTGTATTCTTTGCTATTTTCTACACTGACGAGTACATGTACATGGATTGCAAAGTGTATTAATTTAACATATTTGTCTCTTAATTCTTAGCCTTTTGCTTACATATGTCACATTGCAGAAGGCTTTTTATCCATAACAAGCATGTTGTCCAGACATCGACCAGTGGAATAAGGTGATTGAGGTTCTGGGCACGCCCAGTCTGGAATTCATGAACCGCCTGATGGAGACTGTGAGGAACTATGTGATGAACAAGCCACAGTATCCGGGTGTCAGCTTCGCTGAGCTTTTCCCAGACTGGGCCTTTCCTTCTGACTCAGAACATGACAAACTGAAGAGTAAGATCTTTGGATTCAGAAATGTTTATCTCAGTGTATATATAAATATAGTCACAGTTTCATAGCATAAATACTTTGTTTTGAATTGTCTTACCAAGGACACTCTATATACCTGTATGTATAGATTTTTGGTAAAACAGGGACATCCCTGATCCAGAGACATTTGTCACCAGTATATTGATGTAACGAGACATTTCCCAGCAGAATTACAGGGAACTAGTTCAGAGAATGACCGTGCAGGTCAAAGGTTTTCTGCCCCAGTCTATGGTATTTTAGAGCTGGAGATCAGAGTGTTACCCAATGCTGTGAGGGAAGGTAATCAGCTCTCATCAAGACTGCTGAAATGAAGTGATGTCAGAGTCCTGTTTCCATAGCAACCTTGCTCTTCCTCTGTTGCCATAACAGCTAGCCAAGCACGGGACTTACTGTCCAAAATGTTGGTCATTGATCCTGAATGCCGCATCTCCGTAGAAGAAGCCCTCAATCACCCCTACATTCACGTGTGGTACGACCCTGCAGAGGCTGATGCGGTGAGGAGACGTTCCACTCGAGACAAGTCAGTGGGGTAATTCCTTGCTGTATATGACCTCACTGTGATGTTTCCCTTTGTTTCACAGCCTCCTCCCCAGATTTCAGATAAGCAGCTAGAAGAGAGAGAGCACACCATCGAGCAGTGGAAAGGTAGGATGCACTGCCCTCTAGGTAAATGCATTAGCAGTGCAGCTCAACTTACATGTACATTTTAGTTAAGGGAACAGGGAACTTGATTTGGAGTAATGTTTCTTTTATTTCTGTGTAGATGGGTGCGTGACATACTGCGCAAAGAAAATAAACTTAATCACTATTGCTTTTGACTTTTCACATCACAGTTCAGAGGCCAGGATGGCATAGGTATTTCAGTGAGATGCAAATAATAAACAAAGGTGTAGGTTGCCATGGCAGTACAGTGTGTTTACTGTATCTGAGGAATGACCTGCTTCCTATTTCACTGTGTGTGTGAAGTTACAGCAGAGAGAAAGAGGACAAATGAACAATGCAGTAAGCTGTTTAGCACTGTTTGTGCTGCAACATTGAAATACCATGGTGCCAATTGAACATTTTCTGTTTTGCCACAGAACTCATTTATGAGGAGGTGATTGACTGGGAAGAGAGGAACAAGAATGGGCTGATGAAAGAAGATTGCTCAGGTACCAGTGTGCACCATCTTCATTCGTTATCCATTATATTCTGTACCAAACTGCTCTAAGAACTGGCAGAACCAGCTTAAGACTGGTTTTCTGAAAGGTGCCATTATGTTCACATCTGTCCCATTAAACAGATGCTAGGAAATTCACTGTATTAATTAGCCAAACTTGGTATTTTCTGGTTCTCTCTGTTGTGTCTGTCATGTATCAGATGTGGTGTCAGGATCGGCCTCCCAGTCCTCCTCAGCCAACGACATCTCCTCCATGTCCACAGAGCACACCTTGGCCTCGGACACAGACAGCAGCAGCATCGACACACTGACGGGACCGCTGGACGAGAGTCAGTGAACACAGTCCATGGCTACATGAATCTGCTCATCTGTCTGCCTGAGTCCCCCCACCTCGTGTTTACAGTATCCAGATATCAAACATTATCACCTTCCTTCCTTCTCTTTACTTGATCCTTTCCCATTTTTGTATTTTTTGCCTTTTTCTTCTTTACTCTTTAACTTCAAAGAATTGGTCTATTTTTCTATTTTCTTTCCCTGTGTGACCTGGTGGGTCTTACTGATCATTTTCTGGACTGTTGCCTAGAGGTCAAAGCTATCTTTGCTGTTTTTTGGATCGGTAGTATACCAGTTTTTGTTTTCCTTTGTGGATGTAGTTTTAACTGCGAGTATATATGACGTATGCATCCATATGGATTTTCAGGTTACCAGGAGCAGATGGGTTTGTTTTGAATGCCTGTATTTTAATAGTTTTATTTTTTTAGCAGATATTAAGTTGTGACCAGATGTTATTGTCATCCAATTAAAGCAGATACACACTGAACATAGAGCACAGCTGCCAGCTGCTCTCCTGCATGTTACGTCAATAAGAACAAAAGCTTATGATTGTACCAACCATCTGATGTTCATCTGATGATCAAACACTAATCTGATCGACAGTGTTTGATCGACACTATAGCTAGCTTGCAGTATTGCAGATCTCCACAGTGGTGCTTTCTGCACAGTGTTTTTGTTTTGTTTTAGTTTTTTTTTAATTGGCTTGAGTGATGTGGATTTTCAGCTTTTACTCCTGACCGCTAGGAGATGCCGTGGTCGCTGTGTTATTGTTTTCTTTCCTGATATAATGTACTGTATGTAAAGGTGACACTGATAGTGGCTGTAATCCTTTTCATTGCAAATAGATCAAGTGTGCTTGTTCTGTTAAGAAGTAACCTATCTCTAGAGCGATGTATTATAGTCACCCCCATTTGACATAAGGTACCGACTATCAATGTGTATATCAAAAGAACATCATTATCTTGTAAATGTACGAGAGGCAAAAAAGATACATGTGATATTTATTTTTGTGTTTTTGCAAAATATTGCACACAGTCACATCAAGGCCCACGGAAATCACATTTCATTGACAGATAATTGCATGGGCTTCTGCTTTTCAAAATCATTCCTTTAGTACTGGGACAGTAACAAAACGAATCATGTAGAACACGTGTAAAAGCAGTAAAACACGAACAGTAGTGTTTAACTTGCATGAAGGCATCAACAATGCCTGTAAGATACCATAGTATTCATTATACAAAGATAAATCCGTTCAGCTCAGATCTTCTACGTACAGTTCCTTGATGTTCTTTGTTCTGAAAGCCAGTTGATGTGTTTTTTGCCTTGTAAGCCTGTGTGTGTATGTGTATGTGTATGTGTGTGTGTGTGTGTGTGATCAAAATGGACTGTGCAGCACCCTCCTTCATCGTCTCCTTTGAATCGTCCTTAAAGACAGCAGTTGTGCCCCGTCTATGGAGAAGCTGGCCCAGCAACACAAGGCAGACCCGTTCTGCTTTAAAATCAGGGTGTGACTGTGGAGTTCTGAATCAAAATCTGGACCTCGAAACTCAAGATGGAAATGTAAAGATGAACTTTGGAACTGGACTGTGGAGCTGCTTTCTGCAGAACTGATTGCACAGTGTGATGGACAAGCAGAAGTATGACACTATGGGGTCACTGAGGACTGCGCCATGTTGTACCCTATATTTTCCTTTAAAAAAATTGACCTTCTTTTTTCAGTCATGCCTTAAATGACCTGAGGGGCCATTTCACTCCGAAACATTGTGTCAGATAAGGACTGAGCATTACAGTACTCAGAACATCTTGTGTTTACCATGTTCAAAAATCTCCATTGTATACACTGTACATCTCAGATTTTTGTTCAGTTTCTCCTTTTATTTTTAGCGATGTCCTGTGTGATTGCAGTGACCACAATATTATCACTTGGCCAACATCTTTTGCTCTTACGCAACTAATAAAGTGGACATCAGTGATTCATTTTCTTTCAGTGATGCTGTTTTGCATATTCCTCAGGTTCTTTATGAATAAATACCACAACATCTCTCAAAGCCCTTCCCAAGAGAATTAAAATGCTCTGTCTGCACGAGGTCTTGTGCAGTTCTT